ACCACGTAGGGTCGCGTGGTTTCTCTGGCATTTCTCATTGTATAAGGGCTTCGTGGCGCCCGAGACTGCATTCCGCATAAATTGCGGAAGGGAACTATGCATTGCACACACGTGTACCCGTCGCTGGAAAAACGCGTCTGCATTTCTTCTATCCGCGCAACCCAATGTCTACATTAAAAGACGGCACGTACCCGCAAGCCGTCAGCACGTGTTGTATCCCAACGATCTGCGCCTCCGACAACTTCATCAACAACCTCATTTAACACCTTCCTAACCACATCCTATTTGCGTGATCGAAGATGTTATAAAGGTCTCTTCGAAAATATCTTCTTGACATAACGATATCTTCAACGGTATTTTGAAATACGACGCAGTCTATTAGCATTACCGTGTGTGTGAATAATATTTTACATAATATATGTATATGTATATGTATATAATATATTCTATTTTTAATTACCTTCACATCATTATGTATGATGGCGGAATAAGATACTTAGAGGTTTTACCTACTCGTAAATTGATCTTAAGTATATTAGTTTTATTTTATTTTATGAGCTTGTTAGGACTGAGCTCGGAAATTTCATCCGACTATCCGAGTGTGTCATTTTATCCTTGTTTTATATCTAATAAACAATAAAGATAGAATAACACATTATGGCACTCGGGTGAAATTTCTGAAACTTTTAACAAAAAACTTTGCCTGCAGAATTGTATTAAATTGAATTATCAGAAATGATTGCTAAAATGAAGTCGGGCTGCTCTGGACATGTCTCCAGCTCCGAGTGGGACCAAAGAAAGAACTGTAAGAACAAGCCGTTGATGAAGCGAGTCTCGTGAGAATTACTCCTGTTCGTTCTCTAATCATTCTATACGGACACGAAGTATCGTCGTATCGCGATTTCACGCTACTTGCTTGATTGTTCCTCCGCGCCGTGGGTACCGTCGTAGCAAGATAGTCGCATCGGTATCGCATCGGTATGATACTGTTAGCTCTTCCCGTGAATATTCTCTCGAGGTGATATCCAAGCGGCTTCCGTTGCTTCTCGTTCGCGACGTTCCTGAGTCAGCGAGAAAGCCGCGCGTTAACCGTTTTATCGTTATTATTTATCGCTGCATCTCTCCATTCGGCGGTGTGCGACCGCGTAAATGAAGTTCTCCAAGTCTGTCGTCGTCGACGATGGCGTTCTTGCCACACCGGTACATTTCTCGATTATTAGTCTTATATATGAGTAAAGAAGCCACAACGGATATTTATAGGTATCCAGTGGATATGCAAATGTTTAAATTTTTATCATCTATAGCATATTTATTACTGTTCTGTACATTGTTAAATTCATAGTGTCAAATTAACTAATTTAAATTATTTTTAATAATTTCTATAGAGGTCGCCATTGTTCCTCAATAAATTAAGTTACCATTGCTCCTTTGTTATCCGACAATGTCACATTTAACATGATAGTCACATTAAGTGTAAATAATAGAAGGAAGATGGATACTTGTTTCAATCAATCAAGCATTAAGAAGTAGTAACAATCTCTGTAAGCACACAATCACCGAACAATGACGGCGAAATTACAAGGTATCCAACATTCGCGGCGGTCTCTGGGAGAGATGAGAAGACTTAATTGAACCAACCACGAAAACCAAGAATGAGAAAGGGGAGGAGGACGCGGCTGGACGTGTCGAAGGCTATTGAAAGAATAGATCGACCAAGGTTGAAGAGTCGACGTCAACCTTGCGGCAAGTTCGCCGTCTGCGGTTACTTCTTTCACGCGGGGGACGGATATACAATTGGTATAAAATTAATTAACGACGACTATACTGACACAGCGATAAGAGCCCCGGCGGGCGCTCGCCGAGCTAATTGCAGACGTTTTTTTTTTCTTTGTCCCTCTTTCTTTTAGTTTTAACGCAGGCGCGTTTTTCTTTGATGATATGCTATCCGAGGTCGGTGACAAGTTAGCCGAGTGACTCGGAGGCGGCTTCGACTGCCGTCAAAGTCAATCGGCTTCAGGGTGGCCGCTGAAAGCAGCTGAAAGCGGAATAGATGAGTCATTTTTGGCGTGGTTCATCGCGCGTCTCCTCCATTGTGAGGCGCAATAACCGGATGTTGATGTCCGTTCCAAGTAAACTTGAAAGCGTATGATTTCAGTATAAGCACGCTCGATTTCAAGTTCATTCTCTCAAGATAATGTACGAGACGAAGACGTATACTTAGTTTCTTGAGATAAATATGTTTAGAAACATATTAACCCTTACCGTACTAATATGGGTAACTAGTGACCGAGCGATTCCTGTTCATGCAAGTTTCTTTGAGTCTTTTGGTAATTATAAATTATACTACATTTTATTTATATATTTTCCAAAATAAAGAGTAGATATTTATTCTAGAAAGTTGAAAGTATGTTGGTGAATTTTTAGAAATTTTTTGAATTATTTTGAAGAGATGAAAAAAACGAAGACATTCTAGTGACCCTTGATGGTACGGATGAGGCACCAAATTGTAAATGGTACGGTAAGGGTTAAGTTTTGGTAACGTTGTTTCAAATTTGTAGGGCAAATAAAGAATTTAGTCCATAAATTTTGTCGTAAGCCAATTTCTTCGGAGATGATCACATACGTGCTTTATGACATGTCATTGTATGCAATAATCTTTCTAATATACACATTCGAATTGAACTAAATCGTGAATATACAGATTTGTTTGTAGATCATTTAACTCGATATTGTTTCGATCTCATCGTTATACAATTGGATAACGGCAACAATCGCTTAGCGTGACGCTCGTTAATTCTCCTTTTCTTCCATGGATTTTCTCGCGATTGCTAACAAGCAATCCCACGATCCCCGTTATCGGCATTCCACCGAACTGGTAAAACAATAACGAAGTTGCTTCCATTTCTTCCATTTGCATGGAACTACTCCACAAAGTAGTGTTGAGTACCTAACCATGAGCTGTATCAGATAAATTAAGATATATTTAAACCGTTTTCGGTAATTGTCAATACTTTTTTATTTGCTCTGTCAAATATATTAACCCTTACCATACCATGTACAATTTGGTGCCTCATCCATACCATCAAGGGTCACTAGAATCTCTTCATTTTTTTCACCTCTTCAAAATAATTCAAAAAATCTCTAAAAATTCACCAACATACTTTCAACTTTCTAGAATAAATATTGACTGTTTATTTTGGAAAATAATAAAATGTAGCGTAATTTATAATTACCGAAAGACTCCAAGAAACTTGCACGAACAGGAATCGCTCGGTCACTAGTTACCCATATTGGTACGGTAAGGGTTAATGCATAAAATTCTAGTAATTATAAAAAAAGATAATTATATAATTTGTTAACAAGGATATGTGTATGTAAACAATGCAAAAGAAACTCCGTTGCTTTACCTTATACTCTTTTTTATTTTTTTACTCTTTTTTATTGTATTGTAATGAAGAGTATATTATAATATGTATATATATGTAATATCGATTTATATAATATAGAGTTACAAAAAATCTACATTTTACGTCTTTTAGTTCCGCATAAATGTATTTCTAATTTTAAATTGCGAAGCATCTCGATTCTTGATTCTCGGCCTTGAGTAAAAGGATCGACCCGCCACGGGAAAAACTCGCGTCCGTTTCTTCACTTAAAGTATTTACGCTACTCAAAGAGTTACATTGCAGAAGTCAGAAAAAATAGAAGAAGGTAATTTGCGCGCAACCACTCTATTATACGCCTTTATTATATCAGTATTGTGTGTTATGGTTTTTTTTTGCTAATATTAATATTAATGAAACCATTGTGAATTGAATCAATGCAGTAAGTAGCGCAATCATGTACAACCTGTGTAAACCTAATTATTATAGGGAGTGTAAAAGGTTTAGCAGTTACTTTGTGGTATATAAGTGTAGAGAGATAGTAAAGGATGAGGTATAGCAAAATACATGTGCTTAGCAAGTGCTTCCTTTGTTCTACTTGATGTCTTGTATATCCTACCTGTCTAGGATACACGGCATTTTTAGCGCGTGAGATTTATACCCACAACACACATAGTGCGCATATTGGATTCAGTGCATTAAATGCAACAAATGCACTAAATGTAATAAATAGATTAAATGAAATTATGTCTTATATTTCATAACACTTGTAATATATGCAAAAGATTAGAGTTATCATCCATATCTATAATTTTGCGTGTATATTTGTCATTCTTATTCCCCACTAAAACTTTGTAAATACATTTAGGCCTGCGCCAACGTTACTTTGACTTTAAGCAAGACTTAAAACTTTCTCTATCTAGTTTTAAAGCGAAAGAGAGAGACAGAGAAAATTTTAAGCTTTGCTTAAAGTTAAAGTAACGTTGGTGCAACCGGGCTTTAATGAGTTACTCTGTCATTTTACGTCTCATTTATAAATATTTCTAAATTTTGAGTCGATTGTAGCTGTACATCTCATCCATGAGTATAACCATATATCCCACTATAGATATACAGTAAAAATGCAAGGGTTTTAAAAAAGTTTTAAATATAAAAAATTAATGTTTCATATTTCTGATCTTTTTATAGTAGTAGACAGTAGTACATAAAAGTTTGATTGGTGCAATTTATTTAGCTTAAACATAGTAAATAATATTTGATAAATTATAAGTTTTCGATAGAGACGCGGCAGTTACCTTATACAGGTTTACGCGGATTGCACGCGTTACGCGTGCAATTCATTAACGTCACGTTGCTTTGCACTTATGCGCCTGCCTATGTAAATAAGCGCGTTATCTGCGGGTATCTACCGCTAGGACCGCTATACCCATAACACACACCGTGCGACTCTTTGCTCCTTACCGTTCTTGCTGTCCATTCTTTCGCTCTCCTCCTATACAGGCGCCTTCGTTACGCTTCCTTCCTCCTCGCCGTTCTTGTTCGCCGCTCTTGTTCGCCGCAGGTGTTCTCATATGAGGACGGCCGGTTCCTCGCGCGAAACTAGGATATCGGGCGGAAGGGCTCGCGCGAGCTTCGACACCCGATTATCTCCGGATCCGTGATGCTACTCGCGGCTCCGTTCTCCATTTGATTTCACGCAATAGATCTGCGTACACCACTCGCGAGCAAGCGAGCGGCCGCCTCTCTCCTCTATTTCCGTGTGTGGAGCGAACATCGCGAGAACCGGCAGTCGAATAACCTTAACGTCTGACGTAAACGGATAAGCATCTTTGATAATTATTGCAAACTGTATGTGCCTCTTTTATAGACACTTATTATTTATTTCAGGTCTTGAGGATCTTCGAGATGCAACGTTAAGATCGTTATCGAGCGTATGCATGATAAAAGTAAGATTTCCGTGACAGACAGCGTGTATATTCTAAATCATATATATTATAATTATATGAGGTAATAAATTATATATTCTAAGATGAAGATAAATATTTTAATGCATTTTATTAAGAGTTACAATCACCTTTATATGTTTATCCATTTAATCAATTCTGTAGAAATTTCTTTTTTATGATGTTGACGTCATTCAAGAGAGATACTGATCGAGCCCGCATAAATTTTTAAGTTCGTTTCGACAGGAATATCAATGTTAAGCAGTGAAAGGGTTAATATCGCGCAACTATCCGGGAAAACCTGCTCTTTTTCCTTACGGTGTTCCTAACGTGTCCAATGCGACCAGCTGTCCATGTCAAATCCGGTGGTGCCAAGTGCCCCATGACTCGTAGCGACGTCTCAATTCCGCCACGGAGGTGGGAAAGCCACTTCCGCGCGAGTCAGCGAAATTGAAAATTGCCCGCTGCCAGCGTTACAGCGCCATTAAGCTCGTTCTTGCTATTCGTCCTGCCGTTCTATGCTATATCCTCCCAGTTTCTTTTCCCGCAATTGAGCAACCAAAGGACGCGGATACGGATTTCTTCTCTCCTCGCGTATCGCGCATGACAAAGGTCACTGCAAGAGAGACTCTTCTGTTGGGTTCACGAGGAGATCCTTTGTGAATCAAGAGTGGGATATAGCTATGGGTTGGCTTAGTTGTTTATTATGTTATTTTTAATAAAATAACATCGTAATAATATAACAATAGTACAGTGATTTTTTAAAATAATTATTTCAGTGATTGTTAATGTTTTTTTTATAAAATTTTAACAAATTATTATGATAAGATAAGACATATTTCCATCAATCTCTTATATAAAAAAACTTGTATATACGAACAATTATTAAAATATTTTTTTAAAGGAATATTAATTTTTGAATTTATCTGTTTTTTATATTTAACAAAAATAATGTATGTGAGTCCTTTTATTTCTTTTAGTATACTATATTGATATTTATTTATGTAATGTATGTGATATCTAGAGGCCGTCGAATGCGTCAGGAACAGTATTGAAAATATGCAAAAAAGCGAGAATTTCGGAGAAATTCGTAGTTTATCGCCCATTGAAGAGGAATCCGAATCCATGCTACGTTTCAAAGAAGCATCTACTAATTTCATTGAACCAGAAAGAAATAGTTATCGAATGATAAGATCTCCCTATAAAGATTATCAAAGGATATTGAGAAAATCGGAAGGTAATAGAAACGTGAATTATGAATTGAAAGAGAATGAGATTCGATAGCAATCCGATGTACAAACTTGACACTTTAAAGTACAAGAAGAGTGATTCGGCAGGGGATAGCAGCTCCGGAGACGATCAAATGGAGCAGCAAGATTATGACCAGCCTAGAAGAGTCACAGGCGGATATTATTGTTTCGAATCAGATACTTTCAAAGGTTTCTTTGCGAAAATTTTGCAGAAAAATTAATATAGTAGCGTGTAAAATACAATTTAAAGTTGAAGCATAAAGACGGTAGTACAATCAAAATAATTGAAAGCACCATAAAATTCGCGAGACTTCTCAGTTTTTTATCGACATTCCGCGTTATCATTGCATAAAGTAAACGGAATATGTGTACCTGTTATGTCACACAAGAATGCGCGTTCCAGAGGCGGAAGCTTCCGGCGACAATGATGAGGCAGAAATCGGTCTCCGTGACAAGTCCTTGAAGACCACCGTGGAACAGCTTAAGTACAGATTGTCCCAAGCTGAGAGGGAGATCGTCGCCCTGAAGAGGTACCAGAGTCCGCAGAAATGCCAGAGTCACGGGAGATGTGAAATTCTTCAGAGAGATCTGCTGACTTGGCAAGATGAGCACGAAAAGAGGATCTCCTCTCAAATAGTCAGATGGCAATTGGCAGAAAGAAGAAGGATACATGACGAGATGGAAAATATGAGGAAAGTATACGATAATATCGAACGACATCTGGAAATCTTGGAGAAGCGAAGTGCGAAATCTTACTTTGATTTTCAAAGACAAATCGATGCGTGGGAGAAGCGACTTAAAGAGGATGTCATTAGTTTACACGAAAGCAATTTGATCGAACTATGGGAACAATTTCGAGCATGGTAATCAACATTTGAGTCTCGCAAAAACCAAACTGATCAACTTCACTTTCTAGAAACATTTTACAAGTAGAAATTAGATTAATAAAAATAAATCAATTAACAGAAATAATCTTATTTTCGATCGAAGTGGATCTTGATATTTAATAATATTTACATGCAAATTTTTACAAAAATATATGCTTTTCAGTTTTATAAACTGCGCAGCAGATTCGGTTCATTTAATTTGAAATGTATTTGCAAATTGATTGTAAAGTTGAAATTTTTTATTTTTATTTTTATTTAGAATACATAAAATTATCTTATAATTTTTCTCTACTTTTTTACTATAAAATTGATTAGTTTGATTTTTTTTGAGAGCCTTATTTAGTGTCACATTTTTCTTATGATAATATTATTTGTGGGAGTCCGCGCGACATTTACATTAGAAATTAAAATATAATGATTGCAGGTCTAAAATGCAAAATGCAAAAAATTCGTTGGAAGTTCGAAAAGAGAAAAGTGAAGCGTACGACTGTGAAGATACAACTGTAAAAAATCGAGATGACTCTAACAAACCAACTAATTCCAAACTGACAGCATCGTACGAGAACAACGCCAAGTTTCTGCGTAGAATAGAACATATTGTTAAAGTTGAAGTCCAACGGCATCGTGATGATTTAATAAAACGAATAGATCGAAAGATCGCAGAATTTTGGTTAGCTTTCGAAAATTTCAAGCATAACTTCCATCTAGATCGCAATTATTGTCGACATAATTATATTGAAATAAATAGCGATGAAACAGAATCAAATATATAACGGAAGGCTTTATACGTGATTCTACTTGGCAAGAAAGTTGCAAAGTCTTATTTAAATACGGACTCCGAAGAGAGATGAGGTACAATGTAAAGCCAAAGTACACATCTTACGAATTACATTCTCAAAACTATATTGCACGAGTTAATAAACCGTGTGAGTGTATAAAAAATAAGAATATTTATTTTATTTGTATAACCTTCTATACTTTTTAGAATAATTTTTAAGCTGTATTATATTTCACATGTTTGTACAAAAACATTTTTTTTATAAAAAAATATAAATGTATACATTTGACACAAATTACAACGACTTATTGCACAACTTTATATCTTTGTGTAAAAAATACAATACAACCTGCAACATAATTTGCCAAACTAAAGAAGCATATCATAGAATTGACCAAACTAAGGAAGAATATCATAGTAACATCTTCCAGCCTTCCAAAGATTAATGACGAAAGATAAGTTCTCCAATTTACTTGAAGATAGTTAATCTTGTTACCTCACCGTCCTAGATTACGGTATTTAGATCACGGAGCGTGCGACATCCTTTTCTTGTTGATACATGCATAATATACCGACTATATTATCAGGTATTATATTCTCGTAACAGTCATAGATCATGCAATACTGCCATGATCTCCGCTTCTTTTGTACGTGCATCCCCGAGGAGCACGTATTACAGAAATATGTACTCTCGATCTTTATCATCATGGAGAGGGACGACTGGGGAGGGCACAGACCTTATGGCATATAATGTGTGGCCGCGAGCGTGACCTACGGTACACGGTGGAGGCCGAGATAATTCGAATCTGCGATTCAGAGATGCTGCTTTACATAATCACTTTCATGAACCGGCCCTCTTAAGGTATATTACCGCTTATAGGTAGGTCAACGACGAACGAGATGTCGTCGTGCTGCCTATGTATCGCGATTTACAACCGGGGCCCGGGGCCCCCGGCGCGGCAGGGCAGGCGTGTCCGATCAGATTCTTCGTGGGAAGCGCCTGACGGTCGCTACCGGTGGCATATTGCCACGCGGAGGAATCCGCCTCTGTCGTTGCTCGTCAAGAAATTCATATCACCGTGGATATAGATTCAGGGCTAATTATCATCCGTTTGCATACTTCTCAAGCGGTCGACGTTCCACGGTTCAATGCTCCCTTTTCCTCGATCGAGCGAAGCCTCGCCTCGCCTCGATCGTTTTTCGTTCGGCAAATCGTAGATCTGCGTCCTCTGGAAGCTGCTGCGATTTCGCCGTGACGCACACAGCTTCCGTCGGTCGCAACTTATGATGTACTTATATACAGCGGAAAGAACATGAGTTATTACGTAACGCAATTGATGTAGCAAATAACGCAGTGTAAGAATTTCTAGAATTTCGTAATTTTATGTTTTTCCGCACTTTCTTCATCGGCTGTTATTCGAAAAGTTCAACAAATTTTATTTTCCTAAAACCAAGCACGTTGATATATTATTATATTATATATTTATATATTGTTATCAAATAATTGTGACAATTCCATATTTGAAACAAACGAAAAAGCATTGATACTTTTTAAATAAAATTCTAATTGTAAGGTAGGATAAGTATATACATAGTCCTTAATGTTATGCGAATAAACTTATCAAACGCATTATGATACATGGGAATTCATTCGTGTAATTAGCTTTGCAATCGCGTGATTTTACTGCGACACACCGCATCAATATATTGCGGGATTAGTTGAGAAATTGAAGTCATTATGTGAAACTTGATTATCTATGCGAAGATCAGACATTTGAAATGTTAACATCTTGTTGTCGAGAATTAATATCTTTGACATGCACATACATATACATAAACTGTGTCGTTTAATTGGGTCGGTAAGGCTATACAAAGCAATCAAATTAACAAATGCAATTTAAAAATTAATGAATGTTCGGAATTATTTTATTTACACATGTTTGCGTCTTTCATTATTATTTAAAAAGTTATTTGTCCCAAGCAAATAAACGACGCATATAAAATAGCGTTTTTTTTTTACGTATTATGTTTAGAAAAGAGTATTTATATTTTTGTTACATGGATTCATGTTTCTTTTATCTTTTCCCCAAGTGCATAGATGTATATTAATTATTTTCACGTACATTAATTATTAATATTAACACTAATTATTTTTTTATTAGTTATTGTCGCGATGATATAAATATTTAATTTAATATACGTTTATGATCTACTAATAACTACATTAATGAGTTGGAGTAACTGTACACCTACGTTTATTACGTAGACAGATTCTTGATCGAGATTGATCAATTTCCAATTATAATCTCATAATTAGAAACGTCCTCATTCCAATATCCGTGCGTTACGAATCCGCTAATACACTTGGAGAATTGAGGAAGTCCTCGACGCGGGAAAAAAGCGTTCGGTAAGCTCGCCGATAATTAATCCATCTAACAGTCAACCGTGGTATTTGAATCACAATCAGCGTATCCTGCTGTATTAGGGTACCCCACGGAGAGTGAGGCGTTTCTTCTCACGCTTATTCCGTATAGCCGACCGGCCACGACGGTAACAGAGATAGATCGAGTGGGAGTAAATCCTCGAGAGGAGAGACGGGCGAGAGAAGAAGAGAACGAAGAAGAAGAACACGTCACCCTGAACTTTCCTCCCCGTAAGATCACCGGCAATTTAAAGGGTAATTGTCGTATACGAGCAAGTAAGCGAGCTAAGCCGCGCGCTCGCACACGTGTGCACGCGTACACGTGCACGCGTGTTTACGCATCAGCATAGTGAGGGCACGCAAGCCGGAGGCGCGCGCGGCAAACTTAATTGCCCAAGACACCGTTAACCTTAGGGTACCGCTCGGCAACTTTCAATGTCGACTAATCGGCCCGATTCTCCCGGGGGACACGCGGTTGACGCGGTGTCGAGTCGCGCGAGAATTTATGGCGTTTAAATACGGGACGCGTGTGGCGAGTGTTTCCGCGCATCACGCTCGACGTCGCGACAGATCTGCGCTAGGTACGGTGACTTTTATCCGACGTGGATCGTGCGAGAGTTGCATCTGCGGAACTCCTTCAGAGACGTCCTTTTGTTGGAGAAGCTAACGGACGCGCGTAGATCAAGCCAGCGTTTAGAGATTCAGGGGAATGTAAATAGCGATATGAACCTGATAAAATTCCTAGATGCCACGCTCTCGTGGAGATGGTTGCACGTGGACGTATGGATGCACGCTTACGTAAGCATTATTTTATGAAAAATTTAGGAAGCCTAAAAATAACACGTAGGATCCAAACAGCATAGCAGGGCTTGCAAAGCGCTAAAAAAGCGATTATGTGCGTTTTTTTAGAGCTTTCTTCATGTTTTGTAAGAACTGTGTGTTACTTGGGGAGTCAGGCGTGGATATTTGTGCGCAAAGACGCAAACTTTGCGCACCAACACCAGCGCTTAACTTTGTCGATTTGTCAGGAATCCGTTATTGTTTATTTCAAAAGTAACATAGCATCAATGTTATATAACATTTATATTGTTGAGAAATTATAACACTGATGTTATTACTTTTGATGTCGACTGGGTGACTTTCTAAATTTTTCATAACATTATATTACTTTTAGTTTGTGTAAATTGGGCAAATTTTCTTATTTTAGCAATGTAAAAATCAGAAACTCATTTTACACAATTTCTTTTAGTAAAAGTGTTAAATTTATGCAAATTCTTGGTATTTCGTAAACCTTTGGGTACTATGAAGCAACCTGTCATTTTACGTAATAAGGAAAAACGGCTAGGGCCTGCCATCGCAGTTTCGTTAATTCACCGCGCAGTGATCCCTCCATGTAGATAACCGCATTCCTTGCTACACCATTATTTATGAGGCACGTAAAAGCGTAAACTCTTCAGCCTGTGACCTCGCCGAAATGCAAAACGGCCGGTTTGCGAAATAATTGGTATACATAATTGGTTCAAGGTTACCAAGCACCGTTGCTTCCAGTCATAGACGTAATGAAACGGCGTGTACGCGTTTATATCGCGCGTAATATTTTTATGTGCAATATATTTTTTTCGTGTGTGCGTATAAAACGAGCACTTGGAGCAAATATAATTAGCAAAAATGCCTTTGTATTTAATTAATAGAATTTGAAGTGACAGTCTCCATCTGTTTGAGGGATCAAGATGAGGTACGTGACTTTATGAATACAAATAGAGACCTTCTGTCACAAACGTACCTTCTAGACGCAGATATACTTGTCGTTTTACTTGACAAAAATTACCGCAAAACGGTCGAAAAATGCGAGCAAATAATGGCGGAGTGTTGGAGATTAAAATCAGTCATTCATGTAATCCCGTTAAAACACAGTTTACGTACCTAATAATAAGAGGGATTTGCTACCAGCTTAACGGCACAATATCGCTTAAAATTACAGTTACAGTGTGCATAAAATCTTGTTAATAACTTTTAATTAAAGAAATATTTTTCTAACTTTATCTGGACAGTACAATTAACTGTCATTCGACGTATTATAACATAGGCTTATATTATTCATATAAATATAATCCAAATATATTTATTTATTATTGCAAAATATTTTTTCTCACTCAAGAAAGACATTTATCATCCAATACAATCGTCTGATGACATTCCACCTCTCTCTCTCTCTCTCATTTACTATCACTAGAAAATCATAAACTAACGAGCACACACAAGAGAAGTTACAACCATTCTATTTGTTCTGGAGGCCCCTGGGGTTTGACTTCATGCAATATTAATAGTAAAGTGTCTCTCATCCTTAATCTCCTTCTTGCAACATTGCACTGTACTAGCTCAGCTATTATATTCTACAATGTGATGAGACAAGTGGAGTATAACTGGCGAGATGTTGTCTCCGCGAAGAAACTTAATGCGTTTGCACGTGTGTGCATCCGTGCATTCGTAAAAAAATGTTCTATTGCCAGCCGGTACGCCGGATCGTACAGAATCGTTGAAGTATTGAATCATGCTATGTCGGCAGCGCGGCGAAAATACGGTCGCGATTGTTCGCGCGGATCCGATCGGAACTGTCGATACGGCGGAGGGTTAAT